ACCGCCCAGCGCCGCCCGCCCCCGGCGGCCACGGACAGCGCGGCACCCGGCCGAGCGGCGAGCTCCGCCCCCGCGCGGCCATCTTAGGTGTGGCACGCCGCTGGCCTCAGCCATGCTGGGAGTGGCACTTCCGGCCTCCCGTAGCCCGGCGAGGCGGGGCCCGGTCGCTTGCGGCCGCCATGTTAGGAGTGGCAGGAAGGGGAAGGGGTGCTGGGAGTCAGACCCCAAACTGAGGGGCCGGGAACAAGTGAACCTTCAAACCAAGGGGCTTGGGGGCGCTCGGACCCCAAAGAGAGGGGGCTTGATAGGGCTCAGAGGAGAGCCAGACGCCGACAGAGGGACCTGACGAGGTTTAACCCCTAAGTGAAATGGAGGAGGGGCTTGGAAGGCATCAGACCCCAAAATCCAGGGCCCTGGAGCTGCTCAGGGCGTCCTGGTGGGGCCCAAAGCCCATCTCGAGGTGACCAAAGGCATATCCCAGCCCAGGCCCCAGGCTCAGACAGAACTCAGGGTCCCCAAGGGACTGCAGTCGCTCACTCTTCCAAATAAACTGCCCACAAGCGAAAGCGCTTCATTTTTCCTAATAGTTTAATTAGACTTTAATGATTTATTGCTCATCTGCAAGGATTAATATTGCATTCATTAAAAATCATTCATATACAAAATAAACCTCTCCCTCCCAGCCCGATGCTGCCACCACCATCCCCGGGCTCCCCCCCCCACCCCATGGCTTATACAGAGATGGAGCCCTTACGCCGAGGTTTGACCCTAACGAGGATGGGAAAGGCGGCGGGGGGACACACACCATGACCCCCAAGCACAGGGGTCTCTGCCCGGGTCCCCTCACAGGGAAGGGGTGGATGCTCTCACTCCCTCCCTGCAGACACCCATCCCAGCTCACTGAGCCAGGCGTGAGTCCCATCCCCATGAAGGTGGAGGGGACCCTGCAAGGCAGGTGATCCCCAAAAATCCGTGGGGAGAGCGAGCGACCCAGTGACAGTCCAGGAGAAGATGGGCAGGGTGAGAAAGAGGAATAGTCAAAGGACAAGGAGGCAGAGGGGAAAAGAGGAGGGTGATCAAAGCCACGAGCATCCCTCCCATCTTCCTCCCATCCTGACAAAGGAGCTTTGCACCCCCCCAGGAAGCAGCGGCACCCCCAAACCTGCAAAGCCCCGGGGAGGGACCCAGGCAGCACTAAAAAGTCATGCCCAGTCCGCAGGACAGGGTGGCTAGAGGTGAAAGAGCAGGCCCGGTCACCGGTACCCCAGCATCTCCATTATCCATGTACCGGGAGATGCGGGCAGTGGGGGTCCTCCTTCCCTCCATGCTCTGGCCTTGGCTGGGGGAAGAAAGAGGCAATCTGGGGAGGATAAAAAAAGCCAAGAGAAACCTCACTGGGTTGCAAGGAGCTTCCCCCGTCTTGGGACAAGCTGCAAGAGATTGAAAAGAGAAACAGGTCACCAGCGAGGATGGGGAAGGGGACAAACGAGGCGATGAGAGCGGCTGAAACGCACTGCAAGAGGGCAGGGAAGAGCTGAGAAAGCCCCAGCTCAAGGGCCAGGGCAGCAATGGGGGAGCCAAGGGCTTTGCGCAGGGGTCTGTGGTGCAGAGGTCCCAGGCTGGGGTAGGGGGAAGGCTCATCTCTGCATCCGTCTCAAAACAAAAAGTGAAACACCCCCCAAAAAAGAAAAACAAAACAAAAAAAACCCCAATCAACCAGACACCCATAAAACCACCCCATGCTTCTCAGTGGGAGATGGGGCCACTCAGATGCAGCGAGTGCCTGGACTCAGCAGGCAGCCGCATTCCCAACGCTTCCCCCCGCTTTAAAACATCTCTTTAAGGATCAAAAAGGAAAAGAGGAAAAAACAAACAAACAAACAAAAATGTTTTTAACTCAATTAAGGTGCAGTTTGGCTAAAAAACCTAGGAGAGATGAGGATAATGCTGGGTAAGCGACCCCCGTCCAAATTCAGATTAGCACCCTGAAACAGTGAACTCCCCCAGACCCGGCCGGCCACCAACCCTGGGCCACCTCGGTGCAGGGACCTTGGCCAGGCTGGGGGACAGTCACCTATTCGCGAGGTGGCCAGCAGGCGCCACTCTGCTCCCAAGCAGCGCTAGGAGCATTGATCTAGCAGCTAAAACTGGGCTCTTTAAGGCAATTTAGAAGTTGCAGATAATCCACACAAAGAAAGAAACATCAGATAAGGTAGAACAGCATCTCCGTATCTGCAGGGATCCCGGCCGAGACTAATGCGGGCTGGAAAGGTGAGGAAAAGAAAAAAAACAAACAAACAAAAAAAAACCCCAAAAACCATCGCTGCAGGAATTAACTGCCCTTGGCACATCAGGAAAGGGAAACCCTCTCTGGGAGCCAGGGCTGGGAGCCACCAGTGGCTTCAGCCACATGAAAGCAAGAAGCGAATCCCAGGTTGTCTGCCAAGATCAGACAGAGATGTGATCACGTAAAAGGGTGAAACTGAGGAAAAAAAAAGTGACCTTAAAAATCACACTGATAAATGTAAAAACAGGTTCCTTTGTTGGTTTAAAAAAAAAAAAAAAGAAAAAGGTAAACGAAAATAAAAATTATCTTTAAAAATAATCTCTCTAATGTTGCCTTGTGTGGTCTGGTCCTTCATGGGTATGGTCCGTCAGTATCTGGAAGAGAAGGGAGGGGACAGTGAGGCCATGGGTGCTTGGGGACACAGCTCCTGGGAGCTGATGCTGTCCCAGTGCAAGGAGATGCACCCAGCAGCACCCTCTGGGTGGGGAGACAGCAGCTCCCTGCCCTGGCCAGCACTGACCTGTAGTAATTGGGTTTGAAAGGCCCGTTTTTGTTGAGTCCCAGGTATTTTGCCTGATCATCCGTCAGTTCTGTCAGGTGGGCATCAAATGAAGGCAGATGCAAGCTGGCGACATACTCGTCTGGGAAGGGGGAGAGGAAAGAGGGGATCAGGGGGTGCACATCCCCCACTACACTGCCGGGGAGATGCGGTGTATTGACTCATCATATGGCACAAAAAGGGCCAGGACACGACCCTGGGTCTGGCTAGGCAGTCCTTGCCATCTAGCACCATGGATTCACCATCACGTAAGCCTACAGCAGAGCTGAGCCCAAGCCCTGGTGCTGAGCAGGGCTGGATGTGCACCAAAAGGCATAAGGGTTGCATGAAAAACCTCGGTACAGGAAGGCTGCAGGATAAGGGACACCTGCCACACAACATTAAGGAAAATAAATCAAACAACCTGCACGTATTTTAAGGTTGCTGCCTCTGATGGCTTCCCTGAACTCATTCTCTCTCTGGAAGTTTTTTCCAGCCCAGGTTTGAGTTTCTCCTTACAACCAAAACTGCTGGCCCACAGCAGCCTGGGGGGTAAGTCAGTCTGGGTTCCCTTCACTCACCCATCTTCTTCGGCAGCAGGTACACGTCCTGTTTGTAACGGCCCTCAGGAGCGTTGTAAAGCTCAATCAGAGCCAGAGCCTGCAGAGATCACAGGGGACAGCCCAGGGACAGTCAGGGACAGCCACCGAGCTGGGCAGGGCTGAACCCCCACAATGGCACAAAGCTCTTGGCAGCAGAGATTAGGGTTTGGGAGCCTAAGGGAGGAGGCAACCATTTCCAAAATGCCTTGAAGGAAAGGCTTCCACCTAAGGGTACCTCCCCTCTCTGGGTCTCCACCACCACTGGGGAAGGACCAGAGAGATCGGAGATGAGATGCCACCCAGCTTGTTTGCAGCATCTGGGCTTAACGCCCCTGGGAAAACCAGAACGCAAGTGACAGAGCAGAGGGGAGCAACTGTAATTCTCTTAAACCAACTCTAATTCTCTTAAAACGGCTGCTGCGTCATGCAGAAATGAAGGGATTGCTCGTTTTAAGCTGGCGGCATCGCTCGAAAGACCACGGGCACCCCTTCAGCAGAAATAAAACTGCATCTCCCCCAAGTGCCAGTTCAAGCAGCTGAGAGACAGGTCTAAAACACAGCCCTGGTCCCTGTCCATTTGGACCGACAGGTGTGAGGATAAGGAAATGCCCCACTGTTAGCATGGCTGTCCTCCCCCACCATCGCAGTCCCAAGCCATCAGTCCCCTCCATGTTTCCAGCCCAGCCAGTTTCTTCCATTGCTCGCTGACCTGAGGGCTGCGCCGGCCTTGGCTGTTCACACAGCCAGCACCGACTGCAGATCTCAGAGCAGAGCCAAATTTAATCATCATTTTCTTTGGAAAGGCAGTCACGACAAACAGTACAAGACACAAGCCGTGTCTGCCCAGCTGAGCCAGCACTGATGCTGGGGAGCATTTTAACCACTGACCTCCAGATCCTCAAAACTCAGCCCAGGGGAGCGTTTTGTGCTGTAGACATGAGAGTCCAAAGACAAAACAAAGCCTTGCTTTGAGGTAGGCTTAAACCTGTGCTAGGGGAGCTCTCCAGTGGCTTAAAGCACAGCAGGAGCTCTGCCATGAAGCCTGGCTCATTTAAAAGCTCTCTCCCAGCTGTAACCAAAGTAGAAAATTCACACCATCATTAACTGCATCCCAGACAAGAGGTGGCAGCTACGGTATCTCTGGCACCAGTCCATCCCAAGGACCCATCCAACAGCTTCTTCCAAACCGTCCCCACCCCGAGGCTCATCTAAGGCCCCAGATCATCCTCCACCCCTCGCGCCCCGGCCCTGCAGCGTACAGACCTGAGTGGTGGCCGTGATGGAGAGAACAAAGGTAGGAACCGTAGAGCAGCTCAGGTTGAGAAGACGGCCCTAGGAGACAGCAGGAGCAGCTTGCAGAGAGCTGAACTTGCCCCCAAAGCCAAAGCAAATTGAGTCTTGAGATACAATTCACCTCCACCCCCTCCCAGGGGCAGGGGCCAACCACAGCACAGTGATTCAAGGGCTACCTATGTGACCAGAGCATTCAAACTCTGCCTCGGTTTCCATCCTAACCCTTGGCTTTAAGGCAGGGAGATTCTGTGGTCCCTAGAAAGAGCCAGTCCCTCCTACTGCCAGGAGAGCTCTAGTGGGAAGAAGAGACACCCAGCTGGTTTGCTGCATGGGAAACTGCCAAAGCCAGAAGCAGACAGCGTTTGGCTGATAGGGATGGCTCCTGGCTTGAAAGAACGGAGCCAGATGGCACCTCTGTGGCTGCATGTGGTACATGATACCTCCTCTGCCTCAAGGAAAAAAAAGAAGAAAAAAAAAAAATCAAGAAACCCTTTCTTGAGCTCTGAACCTCCTCCTAGCACCTTTCCTCCTGGTTAAATCTCTGCTACAAACTCTGGCATGCAGTGATTTCCTGACAGAGGCCCAAAGCAACATCATGGCACAGCTCTTGGCACACCTCAGCCAGCAGCACCACCCGCTTCCCATCCGGCCAGATGACGTGGTCCACTTGGGAGCGGACTCGCTCCCAGGTCAGCTCTGGGGTCCGGAGGCTGGTCTGCAAGAGCAGGAGGAAGAGGCTGGAGTCATCAGGGGAGGACAGCAGGGCAGACACAGCCGTCAAGGTTGCAGGCAGACTCACCACATCGATCTCGGTGTTGGAGTGGCCCATGTTGCAGACGATGCAGCTGTTCTTCATCCGATCCAGGTGTTCTCTGGTCACGACATTCTTGTTTCCTGCAGGCAGAGAGGGGACAGATGAACCCAAGGCAGTGGAAATATAAACTCTCTGATTTCTCCTTCCCTGCACTTGAGTCAAAGAAGCTCAGCTTGGGGCAACACCAGATGAACTTCCACCAGGACAAGAGCCCTCCTGGCTGTGACAACAGAGAAACACACGGTATGAGTGCTGATCTGTGGTCCCATGAATTAACCAGGCTTCAAGAGACCCCAAACTACCTGTGGGACACATCGCTGTGATGTCTCTTCTCCCAGGGGCTGAGGGAGGACTGTAGTGAAATAGCAGACTGGGGGGGGTAGGAGGGAAAGCTCTGGCCAAAGCACAGTTATTGCTCTTGCAAAATTAGCAGCACATGGCAGGGAAGTGTCCTCCATCCCCAGCTCCCCAAGAGCCCCTGAGATACCCGCTTGGGAATGACTGCTCCTTCTCAGCCTGCTCCAATGCTCACCCACGACCTTCTCCATCCCTACCTGTGCAGGTGATGACGACATCCACCTGACGGATTACTTCGCTCAGCTTCACCACCCGAAATCCATCCATGCTGGCAAAAAAGGGGGAGAGGGACCACGATGAGGAGGAGAAGCCTGTTCTCTCTCTGCCCCAGGCCAGGAGGGATCTCAGCACTGTATTGCTGCAGCAGCTCTGAACTGCTCACACAGCAGCAGGGCTATCCTTCACAAATGTTGGAGGAGCTGGGGGACGTGTGGAGCATTCAGCCAGCCCTGCATGAACCCTTGAGCAGCCTTCCCAAGCCAGTTGGGGCAGGTGCCTACTGCCTGGTACCCCACCACTAAACCAGCCCTGAAAGCTGCCCAGCCCTTCCCCATCACACCCCAACAAGATGTATATTCTCCAAGACGAGCCACAGATCCTCCTGGCTCTGTTTCAGCCTCTGTCAGGGTTTAAAGGGGGCCAGAAAGCAGATGAAGAGATGCTCACAAACAGCATGTAACATCTTACCAAGCTTGGAGAGCGCAGATGGGGTCAATCTCCGTGACGTAGACAATCGCTCCCAGGGCTTTCAGAGCGGCACAGCATCCCTTGCCAACCTGCCAAGGCAAAGCATCAGCGCGGAGCTGAACACGGGACATGCTGAGTGCTACAATCCCTTCCCTAAAACAGCCTGAGCATGTTCCAGACTGGGAGATGCTCATCCCAGCTATCTGCCTGATGCCAGGAGCAACTCAAGATGCACCTGGCAAGTGGCAATTCTGCTGCAAGCCCAGCTCCCCCTCCAAGGCCACCAAGCCCTCCAGCATGGCCACCAGCTGACAGGAGCTTTCCAAAACCAACACGCTTACAGCCTGCGCAGCCCCAGCATCACAGGAGCGCTTCTGAGCAATCCTCCAAGAGATTAAAGCCAGTCTGGACGAGCATGCACTTCCCCCACTTGCCTTTAAGCCAAAGGGCTGCTTTGGCATTCAGAGCTGTCCTGCACTGCTCAGGGGACAGATCCTCTATCCCACGCTCCTCGCATCAGCATGAGGGAGAGCAGAGCTCCTGTAACAGCATCTCTAACTCTACTCCTCTCCTCACTACAAAATTAAACTGTTTCTCTATGCCACTTAGCCACACTAACACTTGGCTTATCTGCACGTACCCATGCTCAGCCCCATCTTCTAACCAGCAACACGCTGCCGGGCAAGAAACATCTCCAGAGACACCCTCACTTATCACCCAGCTCTGACCTCAGGTCTACTGAAAACAGCCAGGCAGGGCAAACTGGGACTTCAACCCACATCCAAAGGGGAAATCAGTGAGGGTGGAAGGACTCCCTTGTTTTGAAGAAGTCCAGGAAAACCCAGGACGGGCCCTGGAAGCTACAACTCCCAGCACAGCTCATGGCTGGAGAATCAGACGTCACCCTGGAGTGCCTGGGCGAGAGCCAGCACAGCCTCTTGGTCAAGCAGAGCTGGGCTCCACTGGTGTCTAAATAAATTAGTAAGCATGTTCCTGCCGGGAAGAGCATTTGCAGCTACTGCCAGGCCCTTCGCAGCGCGGGAAGATAAACACCCACGCAGACAGTGCACAGATGGAGGGAAGGTGTCAGCTCCCGGCTCCGTGCTCTTCCAGGGCAGAATCATTTACAAGTTCCTGATACGATTCCCACATTATCCACCAGTGAGATGCAGCCTGCCCTCCACCTCCTCTGTCACAGGCTCAGTGACAGCTGGGCTGGATGCTGAATTCAGTCCAGGGACAGCAGATGGGAGCACCCATGGGTAGTTATAATTCAGGCCAGCGTTCCCAGCAACTGTCATATTTGCAGCCCAGGTAATCTGCAGGCAAACTGGGAAATCTGATGCTTGGTCTCCAGCCTCCTAGCAGGTTCTAGCAAGATTTCCCTGGTAATCGCTCACCAGGTTTGATCCACTCCTATATCAAGGGCAAGTGGTCTTTGCACAGGAAAGAAGCAGGATGCTGAGCTCAGGGGAAGGATGGCTTGGGGAGAGGCTGACTCACAGCTCCACCGACTGCCGCTCATGAAACTCACCTCCCCATAACCACAAACCACCACTTGCTTCCCTCCAAACATCACATCCGTGGTCCTCTTCAGGCTGGGGGACAGAGAAAGACCTGTGTTGGGATTAGTCAAGCGCACACCACTGACAGCACAGGGCAGCGCTCTGCTGCAAGAGCCCCCAAAACCAGGTCCTGCAAGCACACAGCAAGGGCAAAGCAGCAAAGAGCCCAATCTCTGCTTAAGAGGAGCCGGAGCCAAATCCGCTGGTGTGATATTGACAGTGCGAATGGGGAGAAGGGTTGGACTCACCCATCTAGGATGGATTCCCGGCAGCAATATAGGTTATCAAATTTCTGTTTCGTGACAGAGTCATTCACATTCATGGCTGGGACACACAGCTTCCCGGCCTTGGAGAGCTGGTACAGCCTGGAAGAGGGCAGAGGCAGGTCAGAGCAGAGAGCAGCTACCCAGTAAAAGATCTCCAGATCACCCTTCCCTAACTGCGTACCTGTGCACACCGGTCACACTCTCCTCCACAATCCCTCGGATCTTCTTGAATACGTTGGGGTATTTCTTGTAAACCCAATGGGTGAGGTCCCCACCATCATCCAAGATCTAGAGAACAGGCAAGGAAGAGCACGGTGCAGTCAGGCCTTCCACTGGGAAAAGCACTCGCTGGCAACAGGATAGGGAAAAAGAGATGGAGAGCATCTTCAGGCACCGATGGGGGGGCTGTTTGGGCAGAGGCCTGGGGGAGAGGACTCCTGGGTTGCCCTAGTAGCCAGCAACTCGGGGTCTCCTCCAAAACACAGGATTTCTTACCCCCTGCATGGAGCTAATTGATCCTAACAGGGTTTTCTGCCCCTGCTATTGCTCTGCAGCCTGGAAATGTGACCACAGGCAGCACTAACGAAACAGGCTGAGATCAGAAGGATGCCACAACATTCATGCCCTGAAAGCAAACAGTCAAGAGGAAAGGCTGCAGGAGCTGTCATGGCCCACTGACACATGCTATCGCATCATTAGTGATCACAGACCATGCAGCAAGGCAGTGAGAGGCATCATCTGTTTTCAGCAAGGGAAAGATCCCCTGCAGAGACACCCCACCACTCTCTTTGGGAGAGCGTGGATAGGATGTGTGTCTAGAGGAGCGGTTGGGGAAGCTCCCATAGGGCTGACCCTCATGGGAAAGAGGTCCCGTGGTTTCTCAGCTTGTTCGCAGCTCTGGCAGGAGATGCTCCCATGCCATTGGGCTGTACCAACTCAGCACATCATCTCTGCAGCTCCTGCAACCCCCACGGTTGCCCCCAGCCCAGCTCCAGCTGCCATTCTCCAGGACCTCCACTTTAACAGGGGCTCAGAGGCCTTTGCAAAGCCAGTAGGTGCCCAGGCAGCCCCAGAAGGCTCCCAGGAACAGCCCCAGGAAGGTAAGGGTGAGGAGCACCCAGTGACCACTCCACGGAAGAAGAGGAAGGGCTGGAAGAAGGCTCATTACCATGTTGGCCTGCCAGCCATCTACGTTAACACAGCGGTCAATGCACCACCAGAAGTCATCCTCCGACTCCCCCTTCCAGGCAAACACGGCAACACCTAGAAGAAGAGGAGCATCCTTGGCATCTGCTGAATTTGGCAGAGCTCTGCTGCTTGGCCAACTCAGGAAAGCCACGAACAGGAGGGGCAAGGGGCCATGCAGAGATCAAACCGCAGCCCACAACAGGATCAAACCTGTTTATCCCTCCCTAAAAGCTATTTGGTCCAAACTGTCCCTCAAACCAGCTGTCTGGGACAAGGCTGCAGAGCCAGGAGGGGCTGGAAGGGCTCTGCGTCCCTAGCCTCAGCTTTACTCACCAGCTTCTGCCAAGGCAGCTGCCACTTCATTCTGGGTGGAATAGATGTTACAGGCAGACCAGCGGCACTGCGCTCCCAGCGCGCACAGCGTCTCAATCAGCACCTGCAAGACAGCGGGTTGAGCAGCAGGCCTGGGGAATGGTGATGGGCACAAGCACGCCAGCACGGTGCAGGGCCCCAGGCACATCCTTGTGCAATGGGCAGCGAGGAACTGATCAGAGATTGGCCCCAGCAAACATTGCCCTGGGGAAACACAGGCAGTAGAACCTTTCCAAAATGTTTCCAGAAAAGTGAAGGTGCCTCCTCCAATTCCCCAAGGCTGGGAAGCTTAAGGGACTTTCTTCCCTGGGGAAAAGCTGGTCTCTCCCACCCCACACACCCCAAATAAGCAGCCACTCACCGCAGTCTGTGCTGTAATGTGGGTACAGCCCACGATTTTAGCTCCAGCCAAAGGCTTCTCCCCTTGAGCTCGTTTCCTGAGTGAAATCAGAGCAGACATGTCTGCAAAAGGAAAAGAGGGTTTTTAATGATGGCTTAGCCCAGAGAGGCCTCTCTCTGCCAGACTTGCTCTCCTTTCTGGGGTCTCACAGGCTACATCCAGCCCCACAGTTTTTGCTATAGTTGTTACACAGCCAGGGAGAAAACTCCTCATCCCTAGCCTGGCAGGTCTGTCCAAAATGGGATCAAAACACCAATGTCATTTGTCACTTGACAAAGCCACTCAGGACCCAGTGTCCTTCCAAACACATAACAAGACAGGTCTCGGACAGGCACTGCCCAAGGAAAGCATCTCATGTGTCCCAACTAAGGACAGTGACCAGCCCTGCTGCTGAATAGCATCAAGGAGAAGGACCTAAAGAAGATGAAAACAGTGCTGCCACATCTCAGAAGAGCTGCTCTAAATGTGCCTGGATTATCTTCCCCTTCAATGGGTTTGGCAGCACGTGTCTAAAAGGAGCCCAAAAGCAAAGTTACCCAATCACCCCACTGGAAATGGTAACTCAGCTTCCCACAAGCCCCAGGGGAAGGGGTTGGGACTGTCAGTTTTCATGTCTCCCAAGGCGTTGCAAGATCCTTGCCCGTTGAGGTTTCTCATCCAAAGCCACCGGAACATTAAACCCTGCAAGAACGCTGCTGCTCTTAGAAAATGGATGCCACGCATCATTAATGTTTGCCATCACATCCAGCTCTTCCCCACATAATCTGCTGATTTAGGGGGGTAAAACAGGATATTCAAGGCTGTAACAAGAGTTGCAGAAATTGCCTGGGCTCGTCTCCTGGTCTCCAGAGAGCACAACACCTGGCCACAAGCCTCATGAACCCCACGGTCCACTTTTACCTTGTTCAGCAATCTCAATCTCCCGGCGCCCAAACTCTGCCTGCTTGATGTTCTTCACACAGAAATTGCTGCTGCCTTTGGAGTTGGTTTGTTGTTTCTCACGGGGGGACACCTCGTCATCAGAGCTGTCCGTGTAGGAGGCAGCTAAAGTCAGGAGAAGAATGTGCGTTACCCCAGGACCTCCTACCCTTTAGGTTTCTGCTCTGTTTCACTTCCCAGCTTTCACATACACACACTCGTGGCTCAAACTACAACTCTCATAAGGAAAGCCAATGTCCAGAACAAATTTTGCACTCTTGCTCCCTAAAACAACCCATAACTAACTAGATTATCAACTGATAATGAATGCCTGAGCTTCAGGAACCCCCACAATTATCCCCTCCTCACCAGAGTACAACACAGCAGCGTGGAGCATCCCGACATGCGGTATAAGCAGCACGTTCAGTGGCACCAGTGCCGGATTTGGGAGAGGATCACACATCGACAAGGAGCCTGGCACTTACCGGAGCTGTAGCTGTCGGTGGAAGACTGTGAGATGGATCGGGACAGGGACCGACGGCCTGTCTTTGTTGGGAACTTGGTGAACTCCTGCATGTCATCTGCAAATTGGATTTGCTGAGAAGTGCAAAGGAAGAGAAGTGCTAAATCAGCAGGTGTTCCTAACGGCACATCACCTTTCCAGGCTATATGGGCCCATGGTTCCCTTCAGTCTACCTCGACTGCTGTAGTCGCAGAAATGAGCATCACCAAATGCATCAAGGAACAGATCTGTGGCTACATGTGCCAAAAATTGAACCCCCTCCTCTGCCTGATCATCTCTGTCACCAGAAGGTTAAAGCAGATTTTACACCTAACACTTGAAGATGAAAAAAAAAAAAGCACTCAGCGAGGCTTGAAACATCCCCTTTAGCCCATCTCTGGCTCCCTGAGGCTCCTCCAAGAAACTCAGACTGCTTGTACAACACAAATAACGTGCAGCCCTCCAGACAAGCCCTGCGCAGGCAGAGCCCCTGCTCCAACCCCAGTTGGTCCCAACTGATTTCTGCCTGAAAGTGTAGCAGCAAGAAAGCTGGGGTAGTCCCAGCAGAAACTCAGATCCCTGGTGCTTCCAGGCTCTTCCCCAGGAGCAGAGCATCCTGCAGGTTAAAAACATGGCACATCCTTCCAAAATCGACACTAAAAGCAGGGGGGGGGAAATTCAGCAAGAGAGAACATTTCAACAAAAAGTAGTTGACATTGCATTGGCTTTCAGTCTCCTCTGCATTACAGATGTTTCCATTGTAAGAGAAGCCCTAAAACAGCCACCCCTCCTTCCTCTCTCAGCCAGAGGCAACTTAAGGCTCCAGCACCTACCACCAGCTCATCAAATTCAACTGCGCTGGGCCGAGAGGAGGGAAAAAATAGCCCCAAACTGCTCAGCTGCTGCACTCATCCCATGTGACCAACCAGCAAAAAGCCTTACTGCTGCTTCTGCAAGAGAAAGATGACTGAGATGAAAGGGAATTAGGAAAAGTGCCAGCAAATCCAGCCTGATGCCCCCCTCCCCAGCACGCTGCCACACGAGAGACCCTGACAAAGAGCCTCAGCGTGGCCTCTTCCCTCTGATCACGTCACTGCAGGATTTAATTTTGCCACTTAACAGGGATGAGACGTCATCACAGGGAGTGGGATTAACAAAGCATCCCCACAGACCCAGGAGACCTCGAAAAGAGTCCTGAAGAAATCAAGATGATGGAAAGAGACAGGCCACAGTGGCCTCAAGGAGGGATTTTCCATGCCCCAACCATCCCACAAGCTCCCTGAAAGCTTTGATGCAGGAAACAGCCTTCAAGGGGAGAAGAATGAAACTATTTAGTTGAGACGATCCATCCCAGAAAGGAGGGATCTGCATAGTCTGGGTCTGGGCTGTCTGCAGCACTAGTATGGCTGTTTGGGCTGCAAAATTGAGCCACAGTTCCTGGAGAAAACCAGCTGATGGGCCAAAAGCAGCACTGGTATTCTGCTCAGGCAGGGAAACAGGGACATGAAACCCACTGCTCAGTCCAAGAGAGGACATGTGGGGCGATGGAGGTGACTCCAGCATCCCCTCCAGGAACAGACTAGTACCAGATCAAGTCCATCACATCCAGGCAGGCATCCTAGGCATTTTTGTGGGTGCTGCTGCTAAAAGGTTTTTAGCCAGCTCCTCTGTACTGGATATGTTACAGCCTGGTATCTGCTTCCCAGACCAGACTTCCCAGCAGACATCCTGTGATTCTGATGCAAACTGCATGAATTTGCATTAGTGGAAGGAATGGGAACGCTAAAATGGAGTTTGCAGGTTTGGTTTTGCAACCGGTTTAGGTCATTTGGTGCAGAGGGAGGAACTGCAAGGCATCATAACCTACAGCACTGCTGGGAGAACTGGTACTGAGAGATAAGAGGTACAGAAGCACTTCTAGCAAGCAACGCCAGGCAGGTAGCAGCAGTGTCCTCGGGGCGCAGGGCCAGAGCTGGCAGGCATGGCAGTTTCCCAACCAAGGAGTGATATTGCTGGAATTTGTTCAAGGTCTGGTACTGGGATCAATCTTCCCCAGACAGCCTGAGAAAGGCTTGTGCCACCTCTGTGCTGGTGTATTGCGCATGGGCATTTCCAGGGGGAGGGTGGGGGGAAGATTAGCAATTTCAGAACAGCAATATTTCCACCCCTTCCTCTGGCAACTCATCAAACCAAAGGGTGTAAACATGCCCCATAAAACAGCTGCTGGCATTAAAACACCTTAAAGTGTTAGCTGAGGAATTTTCCTTTATCTCAGGGAAAGGTTTCCAGGGAAGAGGTGAACCCAGGAGGGAAAAAAAGAGATAACCCAGGCTTTGCTGCTCCAGCCGAGGGCATGAGTGGGTGTCTGTCCTGGCTTACAGCATCCAGGATATGGGAGTCCCAGGCACTTCCCTGCAGTGAAACATGCTGCCTGGACGGTCTCATGGAGCAAAGCTCATTTGGGATGCGATGGGAAGGAGAGGGTGGGGATGGAGGGTTGCTGCACTCCCCAGCTCCACACCATCCCCACACCACCAAGACAACAGAGATCTACCGGACACCATCATCCCCTTTGAGAGGACCTAGCCGTGGGTGTTGAGCCAGCTCTAAGGCACAGTCCCACTTTTTAGGAGAAACAGCAGTTCTAGAAATGCAGGGTTTGAATCCAAGGGGAAAAAAAGGCACTGCTAAAGAAACCAAGTGCTGAATTAACCACAGTAATCCCCGTCGTGGCTTTACCAGAGCTCATCTGAACTCCACAGCTTAGCAAAATCTGCCCTGTCTAAAATTATCATCAAACATTGCAAACAGCTTCCAAACAGAATGAACTGTTCGCACATCAAACCCCCTCCAAGCTTGGCAAATTAATGCAGCGTCCGGCAACCAGCCGAGAGGAAGATGAGGGAGGACAGCAGGTGCCGTGGTCAGGCAAAGCAACCAAGCTGACTGGCGATGTGCGTGACCATCGGCCGCATTACCTTCCATGTGCCAGGCTCTCCAGCTGCATTAAGGCGACGGAGAAAATCTTGTAATCCCTCGGCTTGTCATGGGAATTTGAATGAACGGCATCCCCGGCTGGGGGCTGCAGATTGAGTCGGCTGTGTCTGACCGAAGCCGGGCTGGCTGCGGCGAAAGGGGACCGGGATCGGGACCATCCGGCTGCGGAGAGCACGATGACAAATCACATCCCAAATTTCATCCTGCTGGAAGCAGCTTTTCCGACCGGGTGGAGCACAAGTGTTTAAGAGCAAGGAAAATATTTTTTCGTCCCAGCAATTCATGACCAAGGAGGCAAAACAACACAGCACCAATTTCTCTGCACAGAAACAGAGCCAGGGTGTTTTCCAGCATCACTACCTGCTTACAGGAGGGGATGGGGTCGGGGTCCTGATGGAGCCCTGTGCCAAATGAGCAGCTCCTTGCTTGGTACCGCAGGGGGTTTTTGGGAGAGGTCCTGTAGGAAAACACCAGGATCTGACATCTCCTGCCAAGTTTTTGCAAAGCAACGCTGAACACTGCCTGTTCCCGGTCACACCTGCCAAGCCAGAAGTACATTTTCTCCCCTTGTGAAACCTGGCGTGACCGTACCCATTCCCACGCAGATCCGACTATTCCTAACAACGGCTGCTCATTTTCAGCTCAAACCGCCCCTCCAGGTGCTGGGTCTGGCTGGGCAGGAGGTGCGGGAACATTGTCCTTGCTGATACAGCACCACATCTCAAAAAGGGTCAAATGAGGTGCCAGGGACCCCCGGGCCCTCTCAAGGCAAACACCAGCCACCTTGTTTGGTTGCACTGCCCGGTGCTTCCCAAAACCACTGTGAAGCTAAACAATCAGCTTCAGTGAGCCTCTCCCTACATTATAAGGTACTTGCCCATACGTGGGCACATTGACTGGGCAGTCCCAAACCCAGCAGCACACATGCACCCAGTGCAGCCAGCCTCGTTTATTTAATTATTACAACATAGGAAAGGCAAACAGATTCCGGATCTGGACTGCTACCATCTAAATGAACCAGCAGCTCGTGACTGCTGGGTGTGCCATTCTTGATGGTTTATCCTGTGCTCTCCCCCAGCAGTCAGGCTAGAGAGCAGCTTTTTGAGCTTACTGAGCAGAAGTTCCCACCCCACCTCTGAGCTTCAGAGGACTTTGTAAATGCAGATGGATTTACCTCAGGCACAGATGAGCCAGGCATGTCCCTCTCACACAAGACAACTCCACTTTTAATTTTAAAACTCCTTCTATCCCCAGAACAGCTCCAGAGAGGATGCTCAAGCTCCTTCTCCATGCTACACATCCCTGATTGCATCCTGTGCAGCCTCAGGGGACAGCAGCAGAGTAGGTTGTGGAAGGAGGAGGAGGTAGTGGTTTTGGAAAGCATCCACCAACTCACAGCCATCCCCGGGGCCACACGCTGACCCGGTTCACTGTGGCACAGGCTCCATGAGGGAAAGGACATGTGCCGGGGAGCGGCTCCAGGCTCCCATCTTACCACCACCAGGTTTGCCTTAGCAACCCTCTTTTTATTATTATTTTTCATTAGGGACGTGAGCGATGGCACACCACAGTGGTGTAAAAAGAGTGCCCTTTACAGCCACTTTTGTCCTGGAGTAACCGGTGGGGGTACAAGAAGACTGAACCACCTAAAACCCTCCAACCTAAGTTTCCTCCACCATGTCCGTGGACGTGACAACACAGTGCAGTCACCCAGGGAGAAACAGCAAAATCAGAGCAGAGCACGTTCTCACAGCAACACAACCGCCTGGAAAGGAAAAAGTCTCTGTAACCCACTTCTGCCCTCCCAAGAGAAAGCCTGGAAGGATCCAGGATCCTGGGACCTTTGCTTTGCAGAAAGCCAGCAGCAGAGATCAGGACTATTCAGGGCAGCCGGTTCCCCTTATTTAATCTCCTCTCCCAAACAAAAACTCTCTGGCAGAAGCTGGGAGGGCACTGTCGGTTGCCCACGCTGCTAAGGCAGCCCTTACATGCCCTGTCTTTTAAGTTCATCATTTCTTTGTCATTCCTGGAAATTCAGCCAGACTAGAAATGCTTTACAGCTCAAATCAGCACTCATCCTCCTCACCAGCCCCACTTGCACACAAGACATGATCAGCAGCTTGTACCAGGGCAGAGTTTTGCAGACCTGGAGAAGGGCACCTTCACGCACCCAGGCTTCAAACACCGAGGATTCGTTATCTGCAGAAGGACCGTGTCTTCCCGTGTAGCTGCAACTGGTTTCTCACGACGAGCTGGGTCCTGCCACACTGATGAGTTCGGGTGTTTCTAAAGGACAAGTTGTTTTAATCCACTTATTTGCAGAAGCGAGTCGTCACGTTTAGTCAACGCAGCAGTGAGGGAGGGAAGAGGCACCCAGGGGCTGAGGTCTCTTCAGCCACGCATCAGTGGAAGAAAAAAACCAAATAAATAAAATAACCAGCATGAGGCTTTTCTTCTGTTCTAGGTTAAAAAGAAGAGACGAGCAGCAGGTTTACTTGTGCCACCTTCCTGGAGAGGGGACAGCACTCTTCTGGGCTCTGCTCCTGCAGCCACCCAGGTCCCGGAGGGGACCCCATGCTTCCCAACCAGCAGAAAAGAGCCCTCCTCGAAGCCACCCACAGCCTCCTGCCACGTCTGCCCCCTTGGGACAAGGGGCTGAAGCCACCCCAAGCCCGCTTGCCACAGGTTCCCAGGGTCTCTCCCCTGCACTGGCCCCAGGGCTGGCAGCAGTCCCGCTGTGGCCGGGGGAAGCGACGAGCGTGGCTGTGCCAGGGCGCTTGGTTTGTTTAGAGGACTTGGCTGTCGCTGTCCTCAGACCCCTTCTGCCCTGCTTCCAGGCTGGGAGAGCCAAGCCCCTGTTCCCACAGGACAGCATCTAGACATGGGGCAGGGAACCCGCTGCAGCCCCCAGCCCTCCGGCACACAGGGGGACACAGCTCCTGCTCCACAACCTGACAGGACACGTGTATTTTTGGGTTGGAAATCAGCAAGGCAGATGTGGATGTTTTTAAAGTGCCTCTCCTGTGAGGTTACCCAGCCCTGGAGGGGTATGTCTGGACCACAGCATCCCCAAAGGATTGAGGGAAGGAAAAATCAGGTACTCAGAGCAGAGAGATGGGGGCATTGGGATCAGTAAGGCTCCCACCCTGACCACTCACCATCCTCACACCCAAATCACTAGCAAGGGGAGGTTTTTGAGGTGGATTTGGCTACGTGACTCATAAACCACCCGATTTTACCACCTCCAAGCTCTGGCCAAGCAAGCCAGCACACACGTATATGACAAGAGGTTGCATGAATTCACACGAGGCTGTGGCCAAGCTCACGCGACAACCAGACTTCCAATTCAAATCAGCTCAGCAACAGAAGATACCCCAGCCAGAGCATGAGGCCGGGCGTAGGCAGGACAGGGGTTGCATTAGCAATGCCCATGGCTTCAGCCCCACCATGCTGCAGGGATGCTGGAGGAGAGGGTCGGCAGCCGGGCGCTCAGCAGGCATCCTCTGATCCTCCACGCTCACTGGCAGAGTACCAAGGGCCCTGGGGAAAGCTAGAGGTGGCACAGTCCCAGCTAGAGAAGTTATATGGAAAAACAGGACCTGCTTCTGCTCCTGTGGCCTTGCAACAGGAGGACTTTCTCCTGATGGTTCCCCCAACCCAAACCTTTAGAAGAAACCTCAAAGTGCTTTGTTCAGACAACACAGCTGGAAGAGCTGCCCGAGGGTGCTGCTCTGCTTTGTGGATTGAAGCACAATCAGTGCTGAATTCAGTGCTGCCTGGATCTGTACCTCTAGCTCCCCAGAGGGTTCACAGGGCAGGATTTTCTCCCCGGAGAAGCAGATACCTGCCTGGCACTCTCCCCACCGACTCCCTGAGCAGGAACCACAGCCAGATCTCTGCCTGGAAACCTTTACACCGCTCCCAACAAGGAAATAAAAGGCGCTGAGGTCCTGGCAAAGTAAACTGGCCAAGCCCTGATACCAGCCTCCATCCTTCACTGGCAGAGAAGGGCTGGTTGGATAAAGCACTTGGCGGGGGGGGGGGGGAGAAAAAAAAAAAACAAAAAACCACCAACATGTTTCTGTAAGTACAAGAGGAGAATTAAGAACTTTCACATGAATCCCAAAGCTCGGCAGAGGAGAAGAAACACCAGGAAAGAAATGGGCCCATTTGAAAATTCCAATAGGCCAGAAACCACCACAAGATTTCAGTCATCATGGGAATCACTGTGAATGCTAGTTAAAGGAAAAATAAATAGAAGGCAGGATTAAATAAAATAAATGTGATTTTGAGTGCCCAGCTGTTAAATAGTTAACAGGGAATAACTACTGTCTTATAAACACCTTGAGGTCAAAGGTGCACTGCCTCCAGCAAGAGTAGAGGGAAAGCTCCCCACCAGCAGATAAGGCATCAGTCCTTGGACTGCAGGAATCGAGGCAAAGGCTTGCTCCCGGCTTTCACACAGAGGGATATCTCCTTTACAGCAGGAACAGCAGAAGTCCGATACCTGGGATCCTTAAGGGCAGTGAATTCCCACCGCATTTCACAGGTTAACCCTACAAACCCAGCACAGCTACCCAGACGGGCAAACATCGCTTCCCACTGTGCAAAATGCAATCGGCTCAGCTTGCTGGGTCAACTAATTAGCTCACACACATCCCCCCTGTCAGACAGCCTGGAGATATTCAGGTATGCAGAGGAGAGATAAGGCTCAGAAATAAGGAAAGCACAGACTGGGAGAAGTCTTTAATGGGTGTAGAGGTGGCCATGATGGGTTTAAAGACATCCCAGACTTCTTGCCTAGGGATTCATCTGTGGTGCCCACCCAGCTGTGCGCCTGTGGCACACCAAGTGTTTGGGCAATAGGATAATTGGTATTAATTGGAGTTACCTTGCTGGGAGCATTGCATGGACAGGACCATGGGTTAAGTCATTTGCAGTGGCTTGTGGGGCAAACTGAGGACTAACAGCCTCTAACGGGCCAGCTGGCCGCTTCAGAGATGGAAGCCCATGGAAATGTGTTTGTGTGTCATAGCTGATAGGGACTCATCTTTAGTTAGTATCAATTTTTAAATTAATTAGAAAACTCCTCTACAACCACAGCTGTACAAGACCAAGGGAACACTTGGAAGTACTGTCAGAGAGCTCGTTCAGCTCCACCA